TTACTGAAGTACAACATAACCAGAATCTATGATTCCGTATAGGTTTCTGGACCAGAAAATGCTTTATCCTTCCAAGCCACCTCCAGCAACTTACAATGCTCATTTGGTAAAACCAGGTTGTTTTTGCAGAAAATTTCCCTGTAACATCCCAACAGTCACAACACTGTCAATTTCCTGATTTACATTAGTTATGTCAGATGTTACCACTGGGGGCAAGTTGGGCAAAGGATATACAATATGCCTCTATTATTTTTCCAATTTGGGGACTATGCTTAAAAATTAAAAACTTCAAACAAAAAAGCAAAACAAAAATGTTACTTACTTTACCTTTTGAGGCAGAGTCTCACTCTGTTGCCCAGGCTGGAGTGCAGTGGCACAATCATGGCACACTGCAGTGCTGACCTCCCAGGCTTAGGTGATCCTCCCACCTCAGCCTTCCGAATAGGTGGGAGGCAGGCAGATTACCTAAAGTCAGGAGTTCAAGACCGGCAGAATCAAGATTCAAACTCTGTAACTCCCAACTCTGTGACTTAATCCTAAAACTTGTGGACTACCTTTGATCCTAATCATTCTTGCCAGAAATTGTCAAATACTGCTATCACTTGCCATAAATAAAAATTGGATATAGAAACACATATATAAAAAAGAAATGCAATGAAAGCAAAAGACACGGCCTGGATAACATAGCAATACCTCATCTCTATTCAAAATAAGAATAGACTGGGCACGATGGCTCATAACTGTAATCCCAGCACTTTGAGAGACTGAGGCAGGTGGATCACCTAAAGTCAGGAGTTCAAGACCAGCCTTAAATACTCATTTAATGCCTTTGGTATATATACATATTTTTGTAGAGACGGGGTTTCACCATGTTGTCCAGCCTGCTGTTGAACTCCTAGGCTCAATTTATCTGCCTGCTTCCCCCTTCCAAGTATTTTAGTTTCTGAGAAAGGTCTCACTATATTACCTAAACTGGTTCTGAACTCCTGATCTCAAGCAATCCTCCTATCTCAGCCTCCCAAAGAGCTGGGAAAGGCAAAAATGTTACTTATCAAAATGAAAGGCCAGGTATGGTGGCTCAAACCTGTAATCCCAGCACTTTGGGAGGGCGACGCAGGTGTTCTTCTGCCTCACCTGAGGTCAGGAGTTCAAGACCAGCCTGGCCAACATGGTAAAACCCTGTGTCTATTAAAAATACAACAGTTAGCTGGGTATGTTGGCACACGTCTGTAATTCTGGCTACTCAGGGGGTTGAGGCAGGAGAATTGCTTGAACCCGGGAGACGGAGGCTGCAGTGAGCCAAGATTGTGCCACTGCGATCCAGCCTGGGAGAGAGAGAGATCCTGTCTCTATAAATAAATAAAGTGGCAATAAGTAATATAATAAAAACATTTCAACTCAAATTTTATTAAGTTAATATTCGTTTTTTTGTAGCGTCGGAGTCTTGTCACCTTACTCGGGCTGCTCTCAAACTCCTGGCCTCAAGCGATCCTCTTGCATCAGTTTGCAAAATGCTGGGATTACAGACATGCACCATCACACCAGGCCACAACTCAAAAATCTAAATGGTTTTAGGAGAGTTTGCAAGTCACCTGACCAATACGGTACCTCCCTGAGAAGGGACTCTGAGGCCCAATGAAAAAGGCTTTTATAAAAGGCTCAGGACCAGCTCCAGCAGTGATGAACATGGGTCAAGTCATTCTGCTGTCCCAACTCCTAGACCAAGGTGGCTTTGAATTAGCTTCGGCTGATAACAACGACGGAGGGCAGAAAGGCTCCCCAAACTTGAGCAAACCCAGTAAGAAAACACTTTCCACATCATCTGTCTCGGTCGTTCTGGAGTTGAGCCTCATCACAACTGCACCACCCAGGCAAGCAGTTTGCCAGGACTCGGGGGCCTCAGGATTTCATCTCGGGGCCTCCGACTGTATCAGCGAGCGCGCCTGGCTCAGGGCGAGCCTATCCTTTTTCTCCTTCTGCAAGACCTGCTCCTCCCACAGCGCCTGGTCCACCTGATCGTCGGTGAGCACGACAGGCTTGTACTTCTCATGGAAAAGCCGCTCGTTGGTCTCGGAATGCAGCTGGTGGGTCCCGACCACCCGCAAATGTGCCGGCAGGTGCAGAAATTCGTCGTCGTTGATGTCGCAGTCGCGCATCCGGGCACCCAGCACCCACCAGCGGCCCACGAAGCCCACGTCCAGGATCCGGCCGGGGAAGTCGGTCCAGCGGGGCTGCAGGTAGCGACAGCGCGCCTGGTAGAGGCTGGCCTGGGCGTCGAAGGGCGCCTCGTACACCAGCGAACAGAGCCCCAGGTTCACGTGGCGCAGCCGGCCACGGCCCCGAAGCCAGAGCAGCCGCTGCACGAAGGCTTCGGACTCGCGGTTGCGCGTGGCCGGCGCCAGGAGCAGGAGGGTCCCCGACGCCTCCAACAACGCCTCCTCGAAGGCACCCTCGCCCGGCGCTAGCTTGCAGCAGGCCGCCGCGCCGCCCAGCAGCCCCACATACACGGCCGCGCGCCCCGGCCGGGCACGAGCCTCCGCCGCCGTGTCCCTGCAGGCCTCGGCGTAGTCCCGGAGCAGCGCGCGGGCCCAGGTGCCTGAGGGAAAAGGAGCGCGGTAACAGTGATCCGGCGGCGGCGGACACCCACCCTACCGCCTTCCGCCGCTACTCACCCAGCCGCGCCCACACTCCGGGCTTCGCCGTTACAGCGTCCCCCACCTCTGCGCGGCGCCGGAACCAAAGTCTCCTCAGAGCTGCCGCGGCCATCCTCTTCTGGCTTTGGGGTCCGTGCTAGGGGAAGAAGTTCCTGATACCCGAAGTTAAGAACCCGGCAGTCTCTTCTGCGCAAGCGCCAACTTTACCGGAAGTGGCTTCCCAACGGGAGAGTATAGAAAGAGGATCGGCGCCGGATGTTGCTGTCGTGTCCGAGTCGGGTCCATCTGACTGGCAGGCAGGCCGCGCAGGCGTAGAGAGCCCCAGCCACGCCGACCCAGGTGGCTTCTGGTGAGGGGGGCGGAGCGCACCTTTGGAGACTGGGCTACAAGTTCAAGCCTCCGTGGGTGCTCTTGGCCCCCCGGTAGGGCCGGCGGCCGAGGGACCGGCTCGGGGGCACAGGAGAAGCGGACCTGATCGGCCTGTGTCCTCAGCAAGGGATGCGGAGACTCCAGTGAACGACCATGGCAGCGGCCGACGAGCTGACCTTTCACGGTGAGTGCGGCCCCGACATGGCGGCATGTCCTGCTCCCGCGCCCCTCGCCAGTACCTCCCCGCCCATGCGGCTTCCAGCTTCTCTAACCCGAATCCCAGGCGGCTGTGAACTCTGACTCAGGAGTGAGACCCAACCCTGACTCGAACCCCGCTCCCGCCGTGAACTCAGACCTCTAGTCCCCAGACCCTGACCTCATCGCAGGGCCAATCCTAACTTGCAGTTCCACGTTAGGAGGAAGGGAACAGGTGTCCTCCGGATGCCTCCAAACTGAGGAAGTTGGGCCCCTGCCTTGGGGGTGATCAGTGGCCCAGAAGAGCCTTCGCCCCCAGAGGAGCATCGGCTTAGCTTGGGCCCAGTCGAATTCTTTCCACTCCCCTCAAAGTGCGTGTGTCCCATATCCGCCCTCCACAGAATTCGAGGAGGCCACTAATCTTCTGGCTGAGACCCCAGATGCAGCCACCACCAGTAGAAGCGATCAGCCAACCTCACAGGGGCACGTGGCTGTGGCTGTGGGCTCAGGTGACAGCTATGGAGCGGAGGATGAGGTGGAGGAAGAGAGTGACAAGGCTGCGGTGAGTCCCTGTCCTGCCTCCTGCCTCCGTGCAGCCCGCTGCTGACCCAGGCTGTTGGGGCAGGCACTGAGTGTCCGCGCTGTGTGTAGCTCCTGCAGGAGAAGCAGCAGCAGCAGCAGCAGCAGCAGCCCGGATTCTGGACCTTCAGCTACTATCAGAGCTTCTTTGATGTGGACACCTCACAGGTCGGGCCCTGGGGAGGCAGGTGGGATGGGGCTCAGGGTGCTGGTGAAGGAACCAGCGTGCCCTGGAAGGGCTATGGTGGGACTGGTTATGGATCGGGACTGTGGGAGCACAGGGAACACACACAATCTGGTGGTTAGAGGAAGGCCTCCTGGAGAAGGTGAGGAATTGGCTGAGACCTAAAGGAGAAGGAAGGCAGAGTGGAGGGGAGCAGAAGTATGTTCCAGGCATAGGGAACAGCATATGCAGAAGACCAAAGGTGGGCCAGGCACAGTGGCTCACGCCTATAATCCCACTAGCACTTTGGGAGGCTGAAATGGGTGGATCACCTGAGCTCAGGAGTTGAAGACAAGCCTGGCCTACATGGTGAAACCCCATCTCTACTAAAAAGACAAAAATTAGCCAGGTGCGGTGACAGGTGCCTGTAATCCTAGCACTTTGGGATGCTGAGGTGGGCGGATCACTTGAGGTCAGGAGCTTGTGACCAGCATGGTCAACATGGTAAACCCCATCTCTACTAAAAAAACAAAAATTAGCCAGGCATGGTGGTACGCCTGTAGTCCCAGCTACTTGGGAAGCTGAGGCATGAGAATTGCTTGAACCTGGGAGGCAGAGGTTGTAGAGCCGATTGTGCCACTGCGCTCCAGCCTGGAAGAGTGTGAGATTCCATCTCAAAAAGTAAAAGAGGGAAGGGCTAAGCTCTTTCAGATGGGGCATGGAGAGAGGAGGGTGGAGGTCAGCAGGGAAGGAGCCTCTTGGGACGACAATCTCCTGGCAGGCCTCCATCCTTGACCTCAGCCTTGCCCCCAGGTCCTTGACCGGATCAAAGGTTCGCTGTTGCCCCGGCCTGGCCACAACTTTGTGCGGCACTATCTGCGGAATCGGCCGGATCTGTATGGTGAGTGAGGTCATGCATTCGGTTCCTTTCATCGATCGCTCCACAAGTGTGGCCCGAGTTGCAGACCTCAGTCTGCAGCTGAGGACACATGATTCACTCAGTGTGACTTACCTTCTGTTCAGGGAGATGGGGACATGAAGGACTGCAGAGGGTGGTGGGTAGACAGCAGCAGAGTGGAGAGGAGGAACGGCCTTGCTGTTTTGCCGGGTGCGGCAGGGCAGGCCTCCCTGAGGAGGGTGAGGGAATGAGCCTTGCTGGCAATGGGAGGGGTGGGGGAGACCTAGGAAAAGATGGTTCCAGAAAGGGCATGAGCTCCATGGCAGGAACTTGCATGAACTGCAGGGCGGCATTACCACTGTAGCGCGTGAACGGCAGGAAAGGGATGGATCACACAGGCCTCCCATGCTGTGGCGAGAAGGGATGTTTTGTTTTGTTTTTTTTTTTTGAGATAGAGTTTTGTTCTGTCACCCAGGCTGGAGTGCAGTGATGTGATCTCGGCTCACTGCAATCTCTGCCTCCTGTGTTCAAGCAATTCTCCTGCCTCAGCCTCCTGAGTAGCTGGGATTACAGGCACGCGCCACCACATGCGTCTAGTTTTTGTATTTTTAGTAGAGACAGAGTTTCACCATGTTGGCCAGGCTGGTCTCAAACTCCTGACCTCAGGTGATCCGCCCACCTCGGCTTCTCTAAGTGCTGGGATTACAGGCGTGAGCCACTGCACCTGGCTGAAAAGGAATCTTAGTTATGTGTTCTCGGGTCCCTCTCACCATCATGGGGAGTGAGGGCAGAAGCCAGGAGGCTGGGGTGCAGGCGGCCACATGGTGGGGACTGTGGATGTAGAGTGGTGCTGGATTCTGGAACATGCTGTGGAAGTAGAAGCAACTGGCTTTGCCACTAGACAGGTGGGGGTGGGGGGAGTGGGAGGGTAGGAGCCGAGGCAGGCTCTAGGGATGTCTGCCTGGACTATGGGATGGATGGAGTTGCCACTTCTCCTGGGCAGTGAGGGCAGAGGGCAAGGGCGGTGGGTGAAGCCAGAGATGCCCACTTGGGAGCTTGAACTGGAGGCTGCAGTTCTCAGGGCAGAGCCTCAGGCTCTAGAGGAGGCGTAAGGCCTTGGGCTTGGAGGAGGTCACACCAGGAGTGAACACAGACATGGAAGGGGCCGAGGACTGGGCCTAGCTGCTTCCCATGGCTGAAGGGGTTAGAGAGTCAAAGAGGAGGTGACAGGGATTGAGGAACTGGCACCAATGAGGTGAGACACAGGCCAACAGTGTGCAGTCCTGAGTGTTTCCGGGAGGGGACGGGCTGAGAGCTGGCACTGGGCTTAGCCACTGGGAGGCCCCCGGTGACCTGGTGAGTCAGGCAGGGTGCTTAGAAAGAGGCTGGGGTCTCAGCATACTTGAGTCAGGATACATCTGTCTGGTTGTCCTGGGAGCACATGATCCGGAACCCTGACTGTGCCTCCTATCCCCAGGCCCCTTCTGGATCTGCGCCACGCTGGCCTTTGTCCTAGCTGTCACCGGCAACCTGACACTGGTACTGGCCCAGAGGAGGGACCCCTCCATCCACTACAGCCCCCAATTCCACAAGGGTAAGCAGGCGGGCAGGCCCAATGCCTGGCAGGGCCCCAGGAAACAGGGGGTGACTGCTCGCCTTGCCCCCAGTGACCGTGGCAGGCATCAGCATCTACTGCTATGCGTGGCTGGTGCCGCTGGCCCTGTGGGGCTTCCTGCGGTGGCGCAAGGGTGTCCGGGAGCGCGTGGGGCCCTACACCTTCCTGGAGACTGTGTGCGTCTACGGCTACTCCCTCTTTGTCTTCATCCCCATGGTGGTGAGTGTGGCCTGGCGTGCAGTGGGTGGTGGCTGTGTGGGGCCCCCTGGCATGGTCACCTGCCGCCTGTGTCACTCCCAGGTCCTGTGGCTCATCCCTGTGCCTTGGCTGCAGTGGCTCTTTGGGGCACTGGCTCTGGGCCTGTCGGCTGCGGGGCTGGTATTCACCCTGTGGCCCGTGGTCCGTGAGGACACCAGGCTGGTGGCTGCAGCGCTGCTGTCTACAGTTGTGCTGCTCCACGCCCTCTTGGCCACGGGCTGTAAGGTACGGGTCTGGGGTGGGCACGAGTGGGCTGAGGGGCCAGGGCGGGTCGGCTGGCCCTGCCTCTGACCCCAGGGATCTTGTGCAGTTGTACTTCTTCCAGTCGCTGCCTCCGGAGCATGTGGCTCCTCCACACCAAGCCGCATCTCTGCCCACAAACATCCCACTGTCCCCTACCCTGCCTCGGTCCATGGCTCCCTCCTAGGAAGGCCCGGGTCCCACAGGTAAGGGACTGTTCCCAGCTGGGCTGTGGGGGCTGCCCTTCCACCCCCTGTGAAGGCGAGAGGTCCTGGGGCCATTCTCAGGCAGTTCTCTCTTTTAGGCAGTACCTAAGTGGACCAACCCCTCTGGCTGTCCAGCCCCCAGACAGTGACTGAACGCTCCCCTGACACCTCGAGATGATTCTGCTACTTTCCAGACTTTTCTTACAAAGCAAACACTTTTATTTTCTATGCAAAGGTGATTCAGAGAATTTATATAAAGGCGGGCGAAGGGCAGCCGAGCAGGGAGCTTTGGGACAGGGCTGGGGCCCCAATATCCCCTGGGGCTGCCTGCTTTCCCCCCTACGGCTCCCGTGGCACAGGAGGGAGAGCCAAGGGGGCAACCCAGCCTGGACAGTGCCCGCTCTGTCTGGGTGCACACACGGCGGGCCTGAGCTCCAGCATCTGAACTTGGGGGTGTGAGAAACGGGAGCAGAAGGAGAAGAAACTGCCTGTGCTGCAACACATTTCCTTGTTTATTTTTTCTTTCTTTTTTGGAGGGAGAGGTCCCTGCAAAGCCCCTTCCCAGGCAGGGGAGGGACGGAAATGCTGTCACAGTAGTAGGGACTGGAGCGTCTACAAAGACGGAGGGAAGATACTCAGGCCTAATGGTAGCTGCAAGGAAAGAGGACACCTTCCATGACACATCCTTGAGGTGTCTACGTCTGCCCCAAGTGGCTGGCGGTGGCCTTCCCTCCAGGCCCAGGGCCTGCAGCCACCTGCTCTAACTCTGGGTGGGGGAGGTGGGGGGAACCTGCAGGGGCTCAGGGACAGGACAGCAGCAAGAGGCAGGGGCCGAGGACGGAGGCCTTCCCAACAGCAGGGTGGGTTGTACATTCAAGTGTGAGGTGAACCCTTTGGTGGGGAGGGGGCCCCTGAAGCCTCAGCGGGGCCACCCCTCCCCGCGGTGCCTCTGAGTCTGGGGAGAGGGGCTGCTGGCTCGGCCCGGCCGGCCTGGCTTCTCAGAGGGTCTGTGGATTGACACTGGTTCTTTTCATAAAAAAATAAAATTAAAAAAAGCAGCATGTCACGTCCGTTGTGACCGAGGCCTGGTCGTCGAAGGGAGGCCTTGGCTGGCCAGGCCACCTTCCCACTGGAGTCAGACAAGGGGACAGGTGCTGAGGGACCTGGCAGGCAGGGTGGGGCAGCCTGGGCTGGGTGGCAGCTGCTCCCTCCCTGCAGCCAGTTCCAGCAGATGACAAGCCCAGGTCGGGGTGGAGCGGGCAGGAAAGGGAACGAGGGCTCCCACAATATGATCTTGTGTAAAATATGGCAGCGACACACGCTCAGGGCTGGGAGGTGGAGGTGGGGGTGAGGGTGGGGATGGCGGCAACGTCGTGTAAAAAAGTGTCCCAGTTCCCATAGCAAAGAGGGCTTCTCCAGTATAAGGGGGAAAGCCGCCCGGCGAGGGGGCGGGTGGGAACATCATTTGGTTTCCTGGTGCTGTCAGTCCTTAGGGCGGGCCCCTAGCTCCCGTAGTGCATGGTGTTGGTCGGGATGGACATGGGCGACGCCATGGAGATGGCAGGGCCGCCCATGGTGAACTGGCTGTTGACTGCATAGTGGGCACTCGAGCCGCTACCACCGCTGCCCTGGGCGCCGGAGGACCCTGTGGGGCGGGCAGTGGCACTGAGGGGCTGCCCTGGCCTGCCCAGCCCCCAGGCAGAGTCACAGAGAGAGAAAGGGTAGGCGAAAGGGCAGGCGGGCGGCCGGACAGAGGATGGCGACTCACACGCTAGCTCGGCCCCCATGGGCCCAGCCCCTGCCACCCGCATTACCTTGGACAATCCCTGTGCTCATTATGGAGCCCATCCGGGAGTGGGTGTGATTGACAATCCCCGTGTTGGCTGCGCAGCAAGAGGGAGGAAAGAAGGAAGGGAGACGGCGTCACCGCCCCCAGCCACCCAGCCCATGCGCAGTGGTGGGCTGCAGAGCGAGGCAGAGAGTATGGAGGGCCTCGGCCGAGAGCCCCCAGGAAGAGGAAAAGGCAAAAGGACCAAGCACAGGCCGACCTGGTCGCCAGAGGCCCTTCCCGGCCCCCTGGCAGTCCTGGGCACGGTTCCCCGCTGCCTCTGCCCCTGGGGAACACTCACCTAAAGGAATCAGGTTGTTGTGGCCCACGCTGGAGCCACCGGCGATAACACTGCTCAGGTCGTAGGCGGTCGGCATCCCTGTGCCCACAGAGGGAGACGTCAGGGCTAGGGGCAGAGAGGCCAGGCCTGTGGGCGGCCTCCTGGGTTGGCTAGGCATTGGGGTGGGCCCTCCTCACCTGCCACGGCCATCCCGCTGCTGAGGTTGTAGGTGCTGCCCGTGTTCCACATGTTTTCAGAGGGAGATGTGTAGTGGGAGCCAGGTGGGGGCGAGGGCGTCGTGCCTGTGTATCTGTGGCAGAGACTGAGCTATGGGCAGGGGCAAGGGGGCTGCAGGCCTGGGATGCGCCCCCCTTACAGGCTGGGGGCCCCTCTTACCTGAAGAAAGGGTTTTTCAGATCCAGGAGGTTACTGGATTTGGAGCCGGTCTGGTCCACCTGCGCCACAATACTGATGTCGTAGCTCTGTCTGCAGAGAGGGTGCGGGCAGCGGCATGAGTGGTGGGCAGAGGGACCCCTGCCCCACCAGCCCCGGGCAGCAGTCGCACCTTTTGTTGGCAATAAGCAGACATGTCCCTGAGAGCGTGTCCCCTGCCTTGGCGAACAGTGGTGACTGGAACAGGCACCGCACCTGGTACCAGTGGGTCAGGGGCTCTGTCGGGGCTGTAGACAGCCACACGGTCATTCTGTGGAGCAGGAACAGGCACAGACTTGAGTGGGCCAGCACCACCACTGGGGCCACCACCCTGTATGCCTTGAGCCCTCCCTGGGCACCTGCCCCCTCTGTCAGGGACCGCTGGGACCCTGGAGCAGAGACGGGCTAGCCACCCGACAATCCCAGACACATACGTGAGCACGCACACATGTGCATATGAGGGACCCCCCCCAGCCACAAGATGCCTACTTACTCTGACATGTGCCGAGAGACGGACACAGGCCTATAAGGGACAGACACTGGGAACGTGGGACACACACACACACACACCCCGCACCCAGTCTCTTGCTCTGAGATAGGCCCTCCCACTGGAAGGGATGGTGGAACCTGGAGCCACGTTCCACCCTCCTAGCCCCCACCAGGTTGTAGCTGCAGGAAGCCCTGGGTGGGGCGGGGGGGGCAGCATGGGCTGCTCTGCTCTGCGGCACTCACATGGAGCCGATGAAAGCAACGTCAAACCAGAAAGCCAGGCCGTGGACCAGCCCTGAATGCAGCATGTGGAATTTGAATGGGATTTCTATCCTGGAAGGCAAAGGGCAGTGGCTGCTGGGGAAGCCAGGCAGGCGCTGCCGAGAGAGAAGAGGGGGTGCCAGGTGCAGAGGCCCAGGGCCCCCGCCCACCACCTGCCCTGGGATGGCAGGATGCTGGTAGGAGCCAGGGGTGGCCCTGACCTTTGGCCTGAGCCAGACCTGGGAGGATGGAGTGTGGGTGCTGGTACCTGTGCAAATCTCCTTCTTTGGCTTCTAAGAAGTTCACTGTGTACTTGACGGACTTGGCCATCAGGATCCGGATGTCAAATGTGTCCTGGGAGAGACCACAGGTGTGACCATCTGGTGCCAGGGCCAGCGTGGAAGACAGCCCTGTCCCTTACCCCAGGTCTGGCCATCGCCTCTAGCTTGTCCTTCTCAGACACACTGCGAGGAAGGTAAACTGGCACAACGCCACCTAGGGCAATTAGGTGGCAGCTCTCAAAATAACAAGTGTTTATTCACATACAAGATTTGGCACTACAGGAGTTTAACTTCCAGATACATGAACACATCAATAAACTTACATGGATAATTACAGACTGTCCATGGCAGTGACACACTGGAAACCATCTAATTAAACAAATGATGGCCCACCCATCAAAGACCATGCGGATATGAGAAAGAATGAAGAGGCTCTTTATGAACAGGTGGGGAAAGATCTCCAAGCTAAATCATTAAGCAAGTTAACAAAAAAAGCAAGTTAAAGAACTAGTTGCTACCAGGTGTGGTGGTGCGTGCCTGTAACTTCAGCTACTTAGGAGGCTGAGGCAGGATGATCACTTAAGCCCAAGAGTGTGAATCAAACCTGGGAAACATAGGGAGACCCTGTCTCTTAAAAAAACAACACTGGTGCCTATGTCCACTCCCAGCGATGTTTATATCCGACTAATGCACCTGCTGTGAACTATGTGAACCAAATAAAATACAAAGTAAAGAATAAACCAGTTGCTGGAAGCACCAAGGACCAACCAGAGCAGCCAGGACTTTGGGGATCAAGCTTCTGGAAAGGAAGTTAATGCCCTTTCTGGCCTCTGCCTTTTTCCCATGGGGAGGGCAGAAAATGGCCACCTCGATGTTTCAGCAGCTTCCCTGGGTGGGGAAAGCAAAATGGGAGCTCGTGGTTATCAAGGCAGCTCAGACTCAAGGGGCTGCAATGTCAAAGCAAAGGGAAATAAGTGCAGGAGGGCGAGGTGGGCGGTACGCACTCAGTGCACCTGTGAAATTGGCCAACTC